CGTCGGTGGGTAGAATTTTTGTTGGGGATTTGTTTTTTTTTTTTTTTTTTTTTTTTTAAGAGGAATATCACACCAACGACATCTTAGTTACCGATGAAATACTAACTAAAATAATTTCTTGATCATTAAACGAAATTGAAGAGTATTGATATTATCGACATTACATCTTGCATATTATAACGAAGAGGCAATATAGCGCGAAACAATCAGAAATAGAAAACTATCAGAATGTTTTCTAATAAAAAAATATTACAGAAATTATTTTACTCTTACAAAAATATCAATGAAATGATAAATAATTAAATCATTAATAATTACCGATTATAATTGAATATATATGTTTGATGTTACTACGGTTGTCATAGCAATAACACAAATAGAATATTTTGACAGTAATATATACTGTGACAGTTGTTGAATGTAATATAATGTAATAATGTAATGTCGAATTGTATGTGCTGTATTATATTACATAAATAATTTATTAAATCGATTTATAATAATAATAATTTTATTATGAGCTCGATTTTCGGAAGTGGCGATAAAACTGATAACATTGTTATTTTTGATGTATCGAAAAATGAAAGAAAATTGAACGACGAATTCAAAGTACTTCAACGAAAATTGAAGGCAAAGTGGAAATTTGTAGAGTAAGTGAGACTTTGCCAAAAAGAATTCTCACAGCTGCTTACATATATTCATATTAATTTCATTACATATCAATATTTTAGAAATTTTCATTAATAGTGAAAACAAATTTACACTTAAAAATGTATATATTTCAGAAACAATGAAGTGATATCGCAAGAATTATTGGCAAATGTCAAGATCCTAATATTGCCAGGACCATTAGGTAAATTTACTGAGCTTGAAATGAATTCCATTAGAACCTTTTTAAATTCTGGTGGCAATGTTCTTGTTACACTTGGAGAAGGTGGCGAAAATAAATCCAACACAAATATCAATTTTTTGCTAGAAGAATTCGGTATTATGGTAAATAATGGTACGTGAAATCTTCAAAAAGAGAAAGAGAAAGAAGTATTTCATTAAAACTTCCTATATATATATAAACTCACAATTTTTCATTTTTCTATTTCCAGATAGCGTAGCTCGCATGAGTTACAGTCAAACAATGCATCCTAAGGAATCTCTAATATGCCAAGGCTTGTCAAACAAGTCTATATTTTTAAAGGATCATGATGAGTACATGTAAGACAATGTTTTAATATTCCATATTTTTTACCAACTTTTTTAAATACATAATTGTTTCAGTGTTATGAAATTTTTGTATCCTTATGGTGCTACTTTAAATGTAGTTCAACCATCTGTCGTCGTTTTGTCCAGTGGATCAATTGCTATTCCAATGAACAGACCCATTTGTGCCTATCATTGTGTAAAAACAACTGGTGGCAAGTTGGTTGTGTTAGGTTCATCTAAAATGCTAGCAGATACTTATATAGAAAAAGAGAATAATGATGCTTTACGTGAAATGATTTTTGATTTTTTTGAGTTGGATATCACAGGGATAGTGGATCATCACACGGATGATATAGAAGTAAGTTTATTTTAATTGTATAAATTAATGTAATTTAAAGAATAAAGTTTTCTATATTAAAATTTAGAAAATCTGTAAAATGCAATTAACAAAATGTATTTTTATGTATGTATAGTTTTGGGAATACAACTTTGTGCCAGATATAACACAACAGGCAGATAATCCAAAAGTCTGCACGCAAGACTTGGATAATATCGACATTCCTCGCGAGTATACAAAGTTATTTAAGCAGCATTTTTATTCCATAAATTTGAACATGATACCAGCTTGCATAAAAGCATATGAGGCTTTGGGGGTGAAACATGAATCACTTACATTAATCCCACCTCATTTTGAGGCACCCTTACCTCCCACACAAGCATCAGTGAGCATTGCATCTTGTGCCCAATTTATCTCTATTTCTAATATATTATCACATATAATTATTATGTATATAACTTTGAACTTATCCTGTATAGGTATTTCCCCCGAGTTTTCAAGAATTATCGCCACCTGCTTTGGAACTTTTTGATCTAAATGAAGCTTTCAGTTCTGATTTTTTGAAACTCTCACAGCTTACTAACAAATATATGTCGACGAAAGATTTATCAAACGATAAGGAACTAGATCATTATATCAGAGAATTCGGAAGTATTATAATAAGGATAAACAATTTCAATACTGCTAAAGAAGTATTGAATTTCATTTTTCAGAAAATCTGCAGTTACAAAGCAACGCACGATTGAAATTATTGTACAGGAAGATATTAGAATTTATCACTGATTTTATAAGACAATCTATTAAAAGTAAATGTTTAGCGGAAGAAATTATTGCGTTTTATTTAAATTTTCTACTGTTCCATTTTTTTTTTATCTAGCAGCATTTATCGACGATGCATAGAAAATTTGAATCAATTATTATAGCTGATGACAATTTGTGACAAGTGCTGTTATATATATCAACATATTCCATATATATTTATATCATTTTTTTCTCCTTAGGTGTTTATAAGTACAGCGATCATTTATGAAAATTGAGAGATAAGTTGTAAGACTAATTAATTAAATTAGTAATTTTAGATTAATTTAGATAGTAATTTTCGGATCACTATAAATGAGAAAAGAAAATTAAAGTTGAAGTTTTTAAAATAAAATTACTTAGGAACCAGAATAGCGCGCGCTAAAAAAATCTTAGAAAGTACATTAACCCATCGGATATCGCAATACGTGTAGAATAGAGATATTCTCGTTACGTAATATGCATTGAACACTATATGCATATTAATCGCTTTCGCTGTTGTACTACATTTTGCACACATACACACGCGCGCGCTATCATTTTTATTATTAATACACACAGGCATTTTATTATCACATATATATACATATCGGGTACTGGACGCAATCGCTTTCGCTGTTACACTATATTTTGTACACGCGCGCACAGTCATTTTTATTATTATACAATAATACCACTGGCATTTTATTACGTATATACATACATATATATGTATATATATCGGACGCAATCAGATGCATGTGATTTTTCCAGATCAAATCAGCTGTTTTGCGACGTTGTCAATTCTTGCATCACCAATAATTTCTCTGCCACAATAATCATGCTGTGTGATAACATAATATAAATATATCTCATTAAATAATTCTATTATCACATATATATACATATCGGGTACTGGACGCAATCGCTTTCGCTGTTACACTATATTTTGTACACGCGCGCACAGTCATTTTTATTATTATACAATAATACCACTGGCATTTTATTACGTATATACATACATATATATGTATATATATCGGACGCAATCAGATGCATGTGATTTTTCCAGATCAAATCAGCTGTTTTGCGACATTGCCAATTCTTGCATCACTAATTTTCTCTGCCACAATAATCATGCTGTGTAATAAAATAATATAAATATATCTCATTAAATAATTCTATCATTAAAAGATAAGCATTCCGTAACTGAGTGGTTCGTGAAAGAAGCTAAATGATGTATTTCGAAAACGAGTGAGAATTTTTACTATCTATATATATAACTTTTGCGCAACGATATAATTGTTTAAACAAATCGTTAACCTCTTACAATAAAATTCTTGCAACAATTTTTATAAACTTTACGGTTATACATTGCAGGTCGGAGTTATACGATGTAATCGATGTAAAATATTTCGATGTTACATATAATACAAGAGAGAGTAATACCTTTATAAGTGCAAAAATTAAATTGCAGTGCAAATATTCTTTCATTTAAAAGGAGAATCATGGAGTCACATGAAATTAATAATGAAGCTAATAATGTAGCTTTAAATGCACATGCAGTGTTAAGATCATGTGTTTCAACAACTAATGAAGGTACATATAAATCACTGGTAGACTGCTATAGATTGCACCAAAATTAGCTAGCGGATGCTATACTTTTATTTTGAAGTATTTCAATGATTTCTGCATCTAGTGGCACTAGCACAATTTTTTTGTTGCTATGTTTGAACTATATTAATAGACTAAATTGCGTATATCAGATTACACAGGAGCTTGGCACACTGAATCGATTAATAATCTCACAAAAATGGGTCAAACTATCATAATTATGGTACAAAAAATTATGGATGATAGTAATAATAGACACTTTGAATTTAGCTGAAAGATTACGAAATCTCCAAGAAGAAAAGCACTCGAAATTAACGATTGGAGCATTCTTCGAATTTATGAGAACTGCATACCAAGTTAACGACAGTTGTGAAGGTTTGGCTACAATACTGAGTGCTAATAGTGAAATTGATTGGCAAGAATTAACAAAAATTAGTTTAGATTTAAAAACACATGAAGATAATAAAGTAACCAATAATAATTGTAATCTCAATACTCAAGAACAACAATACAAACACAATGATTCTGTACAGGAGTTATTGTTACAAACAACAAGTAGTAAAGAAGCAAATTCGTCTATATCAAATAGTACGATAAGCTCACAATCTTCTACAATCTCCTGTAATACCATTTATGAGGCATGCAATAAGGATGATTCTACACACGAATCTAATAGTGCAGAAAGTATTTCTAAATGTTTAGAAACGGGAGATAATATCAGAGAAGTAAATCAGTTGTTAGAAAGTTGTCAAACCTTCAATGAAAAGAGGAGAATTTTACAGTTTAAGGAGCATTCAGAAGAGAGTGAACATGGCTTAGCGAAAGTCATGAAGGAAAGTCTAAGAGATATTTTGCACGAAGGATTATTGGACTCTGTTTTACCATACATGCTACCAAAATCCTCCCTATCACAGCCTGTTATTAAAAAATCTACTGTTGTCACAGATGTTAAAAAAAACTCTTCATTGGGTAATGTAATTGAGAATAAAGCAACAGTCACAATTCATAAAGAACGAGATAAGGAGAAGAATAAGATATACAAGAAATCATTGGAGTAAGTGTTTTGAGTAACAATATATAATAAATATATACAAAATTGAACAAAAAAATACACTGTGCAGTAACATTTTTTTGCATAAATGTTTTATGTGTATATTATCGTTTATGGTAATATTATCATTATATTTATCATATTGTATTTCTTAGGAACGACGTGGAAATTCATGTATGCGATGAAGATAAGAATATCAAAAAAAACTTTCGATGTCCACAAAAACTTCTTATACAAAAAATGTGTTATTTTGCTGACGTCACAGCAGGGCAGAAACTTGATGAGATAGACATATCGGTACATTGTGATGTCGTTATTTTTGACTGGCTAATGAGATGGGTAAAAAAGGACATCATAAAAAAGTCTGAATGGCCAGTTCTAGAGGCGAGTAATGTCATTCCGATTATGGTATCTGCTTGCTTTTTGCAAATGGAGCCACTTTTGGAAAATTGTCTTCAATATTGCCACGACAACATGTCAGATATTTTAAAGACGTCGACGATCCTATCATGTCTAGACGATAATCTTCTCACAAGGCATGTATTTCATTATTTTCGTCGTAATTTTAATTATAGTTTTGATTATATTTTAACCATATGGCAAACAATAATAAGTAGCTATCAAAATCTTTTCTTTTCCACTATTTTATTGACATTTACGATTATTGACAGATTGGCTGAATTATTTACAAACGAGGATGTTGAAATGTTAAAAGACAAAAAAGATAAAATTCAAAGTCGTTTGTTCTGCAAATTGATCATGTCACTAGTAGAAACCACTCCGGATAATAAAAAGGGGCATTACAGTTCATTGGCTATGCTATTTAAATGTGGAAAATGCAGTAGGAATGTAATACAATCGATTTCCGATTTTGTGCCTTGCGTCCCAAGCGCAATGAAAATTGATAACAAGGGAACTGTACGCAGCAAACATGTGAGGTACATATGACATATACAGTACTTTACAATATAGATATTATTACAAAAATGGAAAACGGAAAAATGGAAAATATCTCATTATTTTAGAGATCTGACTTGGACATTGAATGATTACATCATTACCTTACGATCAGAGTTGCGCTCCTGGCGCAAAGTTTATTGGAGATTGTGGGGAGATTGCCATTTCTTGTTTTGCCAGCAGTGTAATGTGTACTTCTCAATACATCAGATCGATTGGTGCTGTTATCATCCAGAATCTGCGCAATTCTTTGTGAATGAGCAACAGAGGCCTACGCCTTTTCCTCTAGGAAGATACCCGTGCTGCAGTCAACGTGCCTATAGATTCGAAGCTTTATCTAGTCAAGGCGGATGTAGGTACAAAGTTGGTATCAACATATTATATATTTTTAGTAATTATAAATTTAAAAAAAAATTTACTTTTATATTAAATATTATTATTAATTATATAGGATCGCGTAATGTATATATACAAATATAGCTTACATAAGATTCTTATTTTTATATGCTTTTATATATTTGTTTTAGGAACATGTACCAGATATAAAGAGCGAGAAAGAATTAAATGTTTTAAATATTCTGACAGCGAATAAAGAAGTAATAACTATCGAACCGCCCCAGCTCTTTTTCCCGGAAAAGATTACACGATTGGTGACACGCGATCCGTCTCTTCGTCCAGGCAAATTAGTATGCAAGGATATAATGTGGTGGAATGGCATAGAACTCGTGCCACCGAGACCGAAACTTGGTCTGCTCGGTAAATTGTTTTCGAAGAAATTCTGTCTTCCTTCATGTCTTATAAATTATTATAATACGTACGCAAATTTTATTTCTTTCAAAAACAGGAAAAATTTGGGGAAGTTCGGGACTCCGTCGATTACTTGAAACGCAAGATTCGCAAAAGTCTTTACAGAAACTTCGTCGACAGATTTCCACAACTACAACCGATGTTTTGTCTTCCGCTTCTTCGTTTACGGACGAGGACGACGAAGACGATGGCGGAACTGTATACGAAGATAGCAGTATAGACGACGAATCGTATTATAGCGAAGAATCCAACACATTATGCACCTTAAAACCAATGAATAAAGCGAAACATAATCAGAAGTAAGAAATCGTATTAATAATATTTTTATAACGCAAAATCACTTTATGATCTTTTAGGAACAACAGTAGATGTTGGAGCGGCAATTTAAACGTAAGACATAATCAAGATAATCAGAGAGATTTTGAGGAAAGAGCCGCAGCGCAAATGATAGTTCTTCTGACAAAGAGAACGGTGATGGAGAATTTGCTGTCGAAATCTTACAGCAAGCAACAACACAATTATAAAACTAAGCAACCTATTGGTATGTTTTTCATGTACATAATTATATATTAAGTAAAAATTAAATAATATCACAGAAATAATACTTGATATCTGAAAAATAGGTGGAACATATATGAAACTAGAAGCTGAATTCCGCGAACAGTTAGCTCAATCTTGTAAATATAAGAACCTTTTAATAGGGAAGACTCGTATGAAATCAAACAAGTCTTGATTTATATATGCACAGGATTAAATAATTCATCTGATATATCTAGAATATCGTGTTGAAAAAATTAGTTTGTTGTGATTTAACATAAAGAGAAGGAAAAGACACTGCCACAATATTATAAATGCCATTGTTTAATAAATATATTTAATTTAAATACATTAGAAAATTGAAGTTTTTATAAAAAAATAAATATGCATCTTTATCATTCGTCATTATTAAAGATCCATTGTAAAATTTTATTACTGCAAAAATATATTCAATACTGTATTTATGGAATAAACATTTGCTTATCTAACAATCTAATTTGTAATTATATTGTATGTGTTCTTGATTTATTCCTGAATCTTATACCTCTTGTTTATTAATTCATATCGCTTCTATCTAATAGTTCGTTCAACTGTAGTTCTGTAAACACTACAAAAAGAAATTGATTTATTAATCTCGGTACAACTCTTTACATACATATTACTTGAACAATGTGTATATTATGTGGTGACAAGAACATTTACCTTCATTTTCAGAAGTAACAACTTTATATTCCTTAGATTCCATTAGCTGCTTCAGTTTTAATAAAACATCTTTATTAAAAATATTTGTTCCACGCCATTCTTTTGAAATAACTACTTTTTCTAAAACACGTTTAGCCTCGGAACGTTTGATAATCGTTTCATCAACTGTTCCCTTAGTGCACAGCCTATAGACAACCACAGGTTTTGTTTGCCCTATTCTATGACATCGTGCCATAGCTTGTATATCCGCTTGTGGATTCTGTAAGCGTTTAAAATTCGCGAGCGCGAATAAAATATAAAATCGAAAAGAAAAAAAAAAAAAAAAAAGAATAACACCAAAATTATTAACTCACCCAGTCACTGTCGTATATAATAACAGTATCGGCACTCGCCAAGTTTAATCCAACTCCACCAGCTCTAGTAGATATAAGAAATATAAACATATTCGGATCGTTGTTGAAAGTTTTAATATTTTCTTTTCTTTCTTCCATTTTAATTTTACCATCTAATCTTACATAATTATAATTTCGTAATGAGAGATAATCTTCAATCATATCCAAAATCATAGTCATTGTCGAAAACAACAGAACTTTATGACCCCGCGCTTTAAGTTTCGCCAGCATAGCGTCCAGCACTAAAAGCTTGCCGGAGGATCTGATCAAATCATCATCGATTTTTGGCAAACCAACTGAATCCAATGGGCAGTGAACCAAATATGGATGATTTACAATCTTCTTATACATTGGTACTAAAATATGTATATATAACAATATATGAAATATATATACAGGGTGGTCCTCGTAACGGTCGCCACGATTTTTAAGGCACTTTATATATATATAACATAAATGGAAATAATGAAATAAATGATGTTTAAAAATATGAATCAAACATATTATAATGATAACTTACTTCTATTTTGAAATTGAATACGGACAAGAAAATCCCTGTTACGCTCTGTAACATCAGTATACTGTTTCCATACTGACAAATTTTTTTGGTCTATAGGTTTCATTGCTTTCCACTCATCTGTATTAGAGCTAGTATCGAGGTCTTGTAACGAAGTACTTGGTGACATTTCATTTTCGAAATTACCATTGGCAGATCCGTATTTACTTCTCAAGAAAGCCCGTCTTTTCGGTTTTTTACCGTCTGAAGTCTGTATAATCGGATCCGGTTTCTCAATTTTGCTCAATGTTTCTAAATCATAATTTAATACTGCTTTGTAAAGATCGTGTTGTAATTCCGTGAGCGGTGCATAGACTACCAATTCCTTCTTAGGAGGAATATCCAAATGAACCTCAGCTTTTATTCGTCTTAACATAAACGGATTCAAAATTTGGCGCAACGATGATAATACATGTTTCTCCTCTTCTTGCTTCAAAAATTTTTCGGCGCCTTCCTGCTCGAGCTCTTTAACATCGAACCATGATTCAAACACAGCTAAATCATCAAAGATTTCCGGTAACAAAAAGTTTAAAAGGGACCATAGTTCAGCTAAATTATTCTGAAGTGGAGTTCCAGTCAGTATTAGCCTATTCATAGATTGCATCGTTTTCAAGGTCCTAAAAAAATTAATTTGTCATCTTAATTTTAAAACAAAAAAATAACAAAATATTTGTAATTGTCTTTAAAAAAAAAAAATTTTTTAAAAAAAAAAAAAAAAAAAAATCAAAAATAAGTTTTTAAATATTTATCATCTGAAATATTTTTTATTATTATTCTGAATTTGTATATTAATTTTAGAAATAACTTATAAATGTTGATATTTTTAATTAATTAAGCAATCAACATACTTGACTAGCATACAGTTATAATTTTTGATTCTCTGTCCCTCATCTATTATGATATATCTCCATTTTTGAGACTGAAGAAATCTACTTTCCTGTAATGGTATTTCGTAGGTAGTAATTACAACAGGTTGTGTTTTATAACCATTTGTAACATGGTGTTTATCTTTAATTTTTATACGTATAGCTTCTCTTTCGGTTCGTGTACCATAGAATAACACAACTGGTATGTCAGGAGCGAATCTCTCAAATTCCAATAGCCAATTTGGTATAGTGGAGAGAGGTGCAATTATCAAGTAAGGTCCTGTTTGTTTCTTCTCTATAAGATGACATATCAAGGCTATCACTTGTATTGTTTTCCCAAGCCCCATTTCATCGGCTAGAATCCCATTCAAGGCATTCTCATAAAGCACCTTTAACCATTCCAAACCCGCTTGCTGATAATCATATAAATCGCCACAAAAATATTTTGGTGAAGTAGCAGTGTTTTGTATAGTAGATGGTTCTGTTTCAATCTCTGAATCTGCAGACAGCAGTTCTGCTTTTATATCTTCTTGACTTAGATTTGTTTGCTTCTTTTTAGCCTGCATTTGTTTCCTGATCTGTACATAATTTGATCAAAATTATAAATCCTCTTATACTTAAATAATATTACAAATTGTGATAAAAATTTGAATTTTTTTTCATTACTTACTTCTGGAGATATATATTCTTGTATATTATAGTTTTCTACACCAAGCCTCTTTGTTTTCTTATTCGATGGTGGTACATTTTCATTATTAATAATAGGCTTCCCTCTCTTCTTAACATCCTTTCCTTTTTTAATTTTATTTACCAAAAAAGAAGAATAAAATTTACTTTTGTTCAACAAGTTCATCAATCGCTTGTATCTTTGTTCATGTATTTCACGATTATATTCTTCTTCCATAAGCCGTTTTCTTTCAACCTCAATCTCATTGTAGTGTCTTTTTCTTCCTCTTGCCTTTTCTTCTTCCAATGGTGTATTATTAAACTTGACATTACTGGTGATTGATGTATCTTATATAAGAGAAAATAAAAATATCCAATTATATTTTAAAATAAAATATACATATACAATGTTTTCTATTTATAAAATTATTGTTTGCAATCATTGTTAGCTAGGAACTATCCCAGCAGAATAAAAGTATATGTATACATACAAAAAATGAGAGCAAAAAGAAAAAAATTTTATAAATTATTTTAATTAATAAAACTAGATAAAATTCGCGATTCTTGTTCATTTAATAAATTGGACTGGAGTTCAATAATAAGTGGCAATTCTGCTCTAATCAGAGCGAGAAATGAAAAACATATACTATATTAATATTTCAGCAAAAAAAAAGCAATGTCAACTTGTTGCTAAAAGCACGTTTCTCTCAAAAGTTTCAAGCAAAGGTTATTTTAAAAAATGCCATATATTTATGAATATATTGTACACAATGTTCGCATTTTCTGTATCGATAAATAAAATAAATTTACCTGCGAAGGAAGTTGAAGAACTTCCAGGATCAATCATATTTAAATTATCGTCAACAGAAAGATCGACTTCCATTATTGTAATGATATGAGATAATTAAAGATCAGTTTCTCCTTTAAAGTAAAACAAAACTTTGTTCGAAATGTTAAGAACGGTTAACAAGAACAGCGGTTGCACGCGTGATTGAAAGCGTGAGCGTGAGCGGATTGTACAAACACAAAAGACAGTTGTACGATAAATTGCCGCCAATAATATATAAGAAAAAAATGGATGCCTAGTTTTTTATTGTTTTCATATTGGCAATTGTTTCTACCATAGATTTATTACTTATAGGCTGGGGTCAGGAAGACGCTAGAAATGCTTCGAAGCGTTTGATTGACCAATCAGAACAAAAAGAGTAAAAATCTATTTATTCTGATTGGTTAATGTAATGCTTCGAAGCATTTCTAGTGTCTTCTCGACCGCATCCATAGTTGCGGTTGGGAAGACGCTACAGATGTTTCGAAGTAATGCATTAACCAATCAAAATAAAGAAATCTTTAATCCTTTTATTCTGATTGGTCAATCAAACACTTCGAAGCATCTCTAGTGTTTTTCTGACCGCAACCTATAGCTATAAGGAATTCGTATCAAACCATAGATCTTATATACGCGATCTATACAATCTATAATTAAATCGAGAAAATCTATAAATTTATAATTATTTTAATATATTATCATGCATCACATTGTTTTTATTATTAATACATATTTTTTTTAAAGAAATTTATATTTTTTAATAATCCTTTCTCTCTCTCTGCAGTTAATATAGTAAATATTAATTTAATTACATATACACACAATTGTAATTAATCAATCAATTATTCACGAACGAAAAGAAAAGCTAAAGAGAATAGATAAGATGTATTTTTTTTAAATAAGAGTATGAGAAAATAATTATATAAAATAAAGAGGCACGACAATAATAAAATTATATTTGTATACATATGTGCATAAATTAATATTTATATAAATAGAAATGATATGTAATATTTTATACATAATATATGCGCGTAAATTCGTAAAACATTGATGCGTTAATTAACGGTAATCGCTGAGCCTAACTGTCGCATCAATTTGTAACATTCCTGAAGACGTTTCCTGTCCCCTATTCGCTCAAGCGTTTTGGCGGCTTCCGCGAGCATACCGGCACGTTCTCCCGGCGAAGCTAACAGTAGCGTTGGCAGATGTCTGCATGCTAAACATAACGCGAAGGCATGCTCCCGTTCGCCATTGTTCTGCTCCTGTGATCGATCCTTGCCGCATATGATCGAGGAACGCGAGTTTCTGTGATGCAGACTCCGATCCAGCAAAATCTGAGTCTTTACCGGTGTCGCCCCAGCCATAATGCGTGCTGTAGCTTCATACAGAAACACTCGTGCCAATACAGACTGAAAAATAGATAATATTTTCTATATGTATCTTAGATATGTATAACAAATTTTATTTTCTTATAACATTAT